CAGTAACTCGTAAATAGCCAAATTAATTGATTGACCTTTCCTAAAGCCCTTCTGATTATTGATTAAAATTTTATTTGTCTCTAAGTATGATAGCATGTTTTCATATGTAACTTTCTCATAAATCTTAGCTAAAACTGGAATGAGAGAAACAGGCCTGTAGTTGTTAATATTTTTTTTGTCATCTTTTTTATATAGAGGTTTAACTACTGATATTTTTAATTCTTCGGGGAATATTGTAATATTCCCCGAGCATGGATGCTCTAATGATAAATTTATTAAATATGTCAGTATTGGAGATATAAATTCAGATACATACTTAAGTACCATTGTATTTATCTCATCATATCCTGTACTCTGTGTGTTTTTCAAATTGTTTATTATTCATTCAATGTACTTATCTGTCGTAGGCCTCATAAACATGAAATTACTTGTGTATGGTATTTTGGTGTGTATATTTGCAGCTGAATTTATTTTAATATTTTGTTTTTATTATTTATTTATTTATTTTGTACATAAAAATAAACACAGTTCAGTTACCGATAACAGGAACAGGAACATATTACACCTTATGGAATACGTATGTTTAAGACATGTACATTTAAACTTTATCTAAACCGGTTACACTGGCTCCTACACTAGGCAAAGCCTATCTAACCAATTCTAGAAAGGATTTAAAGTCTGTTCCAATTCTGAATTATTCCTCAGATTTGCTTCTTGTCCTTGGTCTATACTATATAGTAGTTATTAAATGCATTTATAGGCATTTATATCTAAACACATGATGGCTGACACGACTTTTAGCATTTCTAAATGCCAGATGGCGGGCACGATTTCTCAAATAGTGGCAAGTTGGGTATCATTTTCAAGATACTTGGGAGTGCTCATTACGAATATAGCACATATTTGTAAAAGCAAAATGGAGGATACGATTTTCCAAAAATGCAATATAGGTATTATTTTCGAGGTATTTGGGGGTGCACATTATGAATATAGCACTTATTTCTAAATCCAAGATGGCGGGCACGATTTTTCGAATCATGGCAAGTTGGGTACCGTTTTCGAGGTACTTGGGGGTGCTCTTTACGAATATAGCACTTATTAGTAAATCCAAGATGACGGACACGATTTTTCAAAAAAATGTAATATGGGTATCGTTTTCAAGGTTTTTGGGGGTGCTCATTACGAATATAGCACTTATTAGTAAATCCAAAATGGCGGACACGATTTTTCAAAAAAATGCAATATGGGTATCGTTTTCGAGGTATTTGGGGGTGCTCATTACGAATATAGCACTTATTAGTAAATACAAAATGGCGGACACGATTTTTCAAAAAAATGCAATATGGGTATCATTTTCGCGGTATTTGGGGGTGCTCATTACGAATATAGCACTTATTTCTAAATTGAAGATGGCGGACACGACTTTACAAATAAATGCAATATGAATACCATTTTTGAGGTATTTGGGGAAGCTCATTGAGAATATGGCACTCATTTCTAAATCCAAGATGGCGGGCACGATTTTTTAAATAATGGCAACTTGGGTATCGTTTTCGTGGTATTTGGGGGTGCTCATTACATAATATGAGCCTCCTTACAGGACGAGATGTCAAATTTCAGTAGGATCGGAGCACTATTATTTCGGGCCGCCATTTTGAGTCCTCCATCTTGAAATTTTTTTTACCTGCAGTCGTCTCGTACTATTCTGTACGACATTTGTTTGAGCGCCTCTCATCTGTCTCCAACACTCGCCGAGATGTACGCCTGTGGACTGTGGAAAATCTATGGCGACCATATTGGAAAATGTCGGAATAAAGAATTTTACCGCAAATTCGTATTACCGGCTCCTAAACACGGAAGAATATAAAATTTCAGCCGGATCGAAGCACCTTTTTGTCCGGCCGCCATCTTGGATGGACCATTTTGAAAAAATCATTTCGACAGCCAGTTAGCTCTTACCGCCCTCTACGATATTAGTTTGAACACGATCTACCTATCTCCAATATTTGCCGAGATACGGGCTCCCAAAACTTGGAAGGCGGCCATTTTGTTTTCGAATTTTGATTTTGTTTTCACTCTTGGTAGGAACTGCCCAGAGTGTGGTTTTATCATTTGTTTGGAGACTTTGGGCCACGGCGTATACTTTAGCCAGGCAGCAGGGGTCCTACCTGATCGGAGCACGTTTCGAAGATTTCATTGTCTTTTGATATTCAATAAGCCGGTCTGACCATAATTCATTATTTTTACCCTCCCGCCTCCTTCTGGGAGAAAAATGACGCCAAAGGGCAGAAAATTCACATGTATGGCGGCTATCTTAGAAAATGGCGGAATCGAAATTTCAACCATATATTCGCATTGTGGGCCCCCATACACGGCTGCATGCCAAATTTCAGCCGGATCGGACCACCTTTTTTGGGGCCGCCATTTTGAGTCGACCGTGTTGAAAAAATTTTGTCACTGGCAGTTGACTTCCACCGCCCTCTATGACATTTGGTCGAGCACCCCCACCTATTTCCAGTACTCGTTGAGCTATAAGGCTCTGAAATTTGTATGGCGGACATCTTGTTTATTCGAATTTCGAATTTTTTTCGCTTCCGGTAGAAACTGACCAAGATGGCGGTCAATTTTAGTTCGACAACCCTTTCGGTAGGTATTATATATTGGCCGCGCAGCTAGACTCCCATCTGATGCAGTCCATTTTTCGAAGGTTTCGGATTTTTCTGGTACTCACTGGAGCCATCCGACCACGACTCCCGTACATCATTTTTACCCACCGCGACTCCTTCTGGGAGAACAACTATCTAAATCACTGGGTCAGTCAGTCAGTGGTAATCGAGTTATATATAACATAACTAGATGGCGCGTGTTGCGCCGGGCCCGCGAGGGCTTTCTTTATATCTTGTGGCAAATTGGGAGTTGAACTTTATATTTCAGTAGAGAATCCTCTTTGGTTGAGTTTGAGTGGGAGGGATCTGCGAAGATTCAGAAAAGTCAATTGTTTACGGCGGCCACCTCAAATTTGCCAGATTGGAAAATTTTTTATCTCGGTAGAATTTGACTAGAGTCCTTGACAAATTTTGTTTGAAAGTCATACACCTATCTCTGACGCTTTCACCGTTTATCACGGAGACCAGGTCGACTTGAATGTCGCATGTTGCGCTGGGCTGCTAAAGCGGCCCACGAGGGCTGTGTGACTTTAAATAAAGGAAAAAGTTGGTGGTCGGTTGGTGATTACTTTCGTTTCATTTCGTTCTGTAGACTGTAAAATAGCCTGGGTAGCAGTAATAGCCTCCGCAGTCCCCGCAGCCTCCATACATCTTACTTACCAAGTTTTAGCAGTTGAAAAGACGAAATCCGGTTTATAGGAATTTATTCAGTACAACAACAATATTAATATCTTAAAATGTAAACGGTTCAAAAATAAGAAAGTAGATGTTTTCGCTACCGCGATCGCGCAGGGAGTCACCGTAGTACGAAGCAAAATGAGAAAGCGAAGGAAGATGGAATAATTCAAATTTTAAATTTAAAAAAAATTTATAGCGTACAATCGCGTCAAGTCATATTCTTATTTACTTCGGAACTACTCGTATATCATCAATAGTTGCGGAGATTCAGTAAAGTAATTTTTTTTATGGCGGCCATCTTGGGTTCACAATATTGGAACATTTTTAGTTCCCGGTGGAACCTGATCAGGGTTCTTGACAATTTCTGTTTGAAAGCCATACACCCATCTATGACGCTTTGGCCGGGCAGCTGGTGTCCTACCTGATGAAGACTACTTCCTAAAAATTTTGAATTTTTCTGGTAATCAATATTCTCAGTCAAACACAATCCTTGTACATTTATACTCCTTATATTTATAATCCTTGTACGGCTATGTTGGAAAATGGCGGAATCAAAAAACTACAAACACAATTTCATATTATGGGACCTTATACGCGGCCAAGTGCCAAATTTCAGCACGATCCACTTTGAAAAAAAAAATGAAATTGGCAATAGATTAGCTCCTATCGCCTTTTCGGACTTTGGTTTAAACATAGTCTCCCACACCGTACCGGTCGGTGTCTCCCACACCGCACCGGTCCTATCAATGGATCGCTACGCCGCTCAGCCAATCAGAGCTCCTGAATTATTCATTCTCCTCTGAATTCTAGCTCTGACCGGCCAGACGCGTACGGCCGTCTGTAACAGATGTTAAATTTCACGTTTGAATACGCTAAGCGCTAATGCTATATTTAGCACTTAGCAAGTATTATAAATGTAGTTATGTTATAACTTATAATTTTGGTTACGTTTTAATACGATTTTGACCTAATGGTGGAACGTTAGCAAAATTTCTTCTGGTGAAGCGATTTAAATTAAGATATAATTAAGTACTTGGATTTATTTAGTTAGTTTAGCGTTTGTTTAATTAATAAGTCTTGTGTGTGCGTTATTATTAATTATTATGAGTGTAATTTACTGTAAATAACCAGTGTAAAATTTTGTGCAAATTGTAAATAGTAAATTGTTAAAGTAAAAAGGAAGCTCACTGATTTATCGTCTATAACCTGTAACCACCATATTATGTAATAGTTACAAAACAAATGAAGTCGGTCGTAACTAACCATAAAAAACTGTAAACTATTCTATAGATAGATCATAGTTGGTATACTTAACAAGTTAGCGCACGTCAACTATTTCACGTTTCTTTCCATTCGTTACATTATCACACGACCTTGAGCTGCAATAAATTATAGTTTAAGCACTTTAAATAGCGCGCTATAAAAATTTTGCATTTAACATTTAGCGTGCTATGCGAATATAGCAGTTAATCTCATCTCTAATTATAATGGCTGTGGCTTATGCTGAATGAGTCCTTTTGCGTACGTCACAACCATACAAATGACAGTATATTTACAAGATTTTTTTTTTTATTACAAATTTTTAACTTTTTTACCTTTAATTTTTAAATTAACCAACACAGTAGTTGGCGACACTTGCTATAATATAGTTGGCAACACTGTTCATAAAATGTCAGAGCGCCAGGCAGTGGTTAGGAGTTGTAATCTTTTATTATTGTGTAAAATTGATTCGCGATGAGTTACATGCTCGGACACCTCCATAACGGCTGGCAAGTTGATCAGGCCATCCTTTCCGAAGAAGATCGCGTCGTAGTGAGTGCTCGCTTCTATGTAACTTCTTGACAATGTCTTCGCTTACGTCTACTAAAGTTGTCTTTGTGGGTTTCACAATAAACCATAGATTTGGTACTAAATCTATGCAATAAACCGAAATTAAAACCGTGCAATTCGTGTTTGGTGGTTTATTAGAGTCGAGGATGAGGTAGTTCTCAAGCAACGTTTTGCTCATTTCAGGTCATCAGATTCGGGCATGACTGGGATCCGACATGTATGAAAATGGACGAAGTGCTGTACAGCATCGCCGAGAAAGTGAAGAACTTCGCCGTCATCTACCTCGTTGACATCACAGAGGTGCCGGACTTCAATAAAATGTTAGTGTTGTCCTCCCACAAGTTCCATACAAGAATTAGGTACATGCTTACTTTAGGCGTACTCGTGTTTTTGCAGGTACGAGCTGTACGACCCATGCACAGTGATGTTTTTCTTCCGCAACAAGCATATAATGATTGACTTGGGCACTGGTAACAACAACAAAATAAACTGGCCACTGGAAGACAAGCAAGAGATGATTGACATCATCGAAACAGTTTACCGTGGTGCCCGCAAGGGTCGTGGTCTCGTTGTGTCACCCAAGGACTACTCAACCAAGTACCGCTACTGACCTTCCATACCTATGGTACATTTATTCAAACATGCTACCCTCTATGTCATGTACATTACCATGCGTGGAAGTATTTAGTATCCTTTGTAATGAACATTGTTTTAAATGTTCTGAGCATTATGTGTGAATAGTTATTAAGTTAATAAATGAAATTATTTATAAAAAGCTATAAAATAATTTATTACAAATAGTTTTAATCTGCTAAAACACATCCTTCTGAAGCTGAATCCTCCTTACAAACGACCACTACCAAGCAACTGCTTGTTCAACTGGACATGAGATTGATATAGAAAAGCACTACTTGAGGTAATTTGTAATCTATATAATGCGTTTGTCCAAAGTAAACGAGACTATCTACTGTGCAGTCTGGAATCCCCATAATCAACTGTATATTTTATTTATATAGCCTTTTGAAGCCAAGTTAGAGATATTTTTACATTACAATCTTCCTTTGTATTTTAAAGTTTTACATTATATCCCTTAAATTTATTCTTCTGAAATTAATCCAGAAGTCATTTTTGTACAGAAAACTTCATGGGTACTATTGTTATTAAAGCTCTCCCTCACCACGAGCATTCGCCTTTAATGCAACAATCCAAAATTCTAAATTTTTATTGAATTGCTATTCAATTATTTTTTAAGTGGGGTTGCTCCACTAGTTTGTTATAATTATTAATACAAAGATCGAATACTCAGAAAAAATTCCTTCGATCCGGCCGGTTTCGAACTGACGTCTTCTAGCATACCGTGCCAGACGCTATACCAACTTAGCTACGGAACGAACCAACGGACCTCACGAATTTTTCTATGTGCTTGTTGTCGTGTCTTTGTATTTGGTTTTTCAACGACTTTTTAGTCGTAGCGCCATCTATGAAATCGAATCCGGCCAAATTGAAGGAATTTTTTCTGAGTGTTCGATCTTTGTACCAATAATTAATCCAAGATTCGTTTTCGAGCATTACATTATAATACTGCCTCCATCGCCGACGACCATTCGCCTTTAATACATCACAAGTGAATGTTACAACATCCAAGATTCGATTTCGAGCGTAAAGCTACGACCAGAGATGTGCCAGGTAGCACAGTAGGCGTGCGTGCGAGTGCCTCCGAATGCCTATGAATGTTACAAATTGTATCATTACAGGTTGCACATTGCAATGCTCGGTTCTCCTCCCTCACCAATGTAACAAAATTAATGCTCGAATTTGAAATGTTACATTACAAGAGAATGCTCCCGGTGAGGGAGCGCCCTTACATACGTAAAGCTTTACGAAAAAAAAGTTTTTTTTTGTATGATACACTGCCCAGTTAAAATTCAAATTTTAATAGAACTTTGAATGTAACTAGATTACATCATAATACAATGCCATCGTTACATTTATTGGTTGGAAAAACTTTATATTAATTTTGATTAAAATGCCCCATTACTTGCCTAGTATGAATCATACTTTGATTACAGTAAACTATACAAATTTGAAAACAAAAAACAGTTTCAACATGCAAGCCATACATTTGCATGTCGATATTCACTTATCTATGATTATGGCACAACACTAAATCCGCCTTATGTGTGGTACAATTTTGGTTTAGGTAGCTACGTTCATTCCATAGTAGATAGGCCAGCTCCTTTCCTTTATTTTTTTTCCATCCTCTGACACCGCGTTTACACTATCGTGCTGACTACACATGTCGAGTGGTTGAAACGCGTTCACACATTCGTGCGATAGGCGATGTGATGCACGACACGCATGTGTGAACGGTCACTTCGCTATTCGCGTCGCGTCTCGCATCGCCACTCATACGATCGCGTCGTGACACCGCGTTTACATTATCGTACTGGCTATGCACAAACATTCGTGTCGAGTGGTTGAAGCGCGTTCACACATTCGTGCGATAGGCGATGGGAATAGCGATGCGATGCACGACACGCATGTGTAAACGGTCTCTTCGCTATTCGCGTCGCGCCTCGCATCGCCACTCATGCGATCGCATCGTGACACCGCGTTTACACTATCGTGTTGGCTATACACGAATGTTTCGTCGAAACATTCGTGTATATTTTATTCGCATCGCCTATCGCACGAATGTGAGAACGCGGCAGAGCCAGACCACCTGCTAGATGGTCGGACGATATTGTCGGGGTGGCCGGAAGATTGTGGATGAGATTCGCATAGGACCGATGGAGCTGGCGTAAAAAGAGCAGGCCTATACCTAGCAGTGGGTGTTAACGGGCTGAGATGATGATGATCCTTTAAGCCATAGGCAAACAATTTTGACAATTTCTCACATTACTTGATATCGAACGATAATGATAGTTGGGGCCGATTCTAGTTTGTCTATGAATTAAAAATAAAAACTGCGGTTGACTTGTGACATGCGCGATGCACGATGCTTCTTGGCCCGAGCCAGAGGCGAGGGTCAAGACGCGAGACAAGTGAAAATGACAAATCCGCACGTGTATCAAACGACGTTTTTTAATACATTTGCGAAAAAACTACATTGAAAGTAAAATAAAACAGTATTTAAAAAAAACTCATTTTCTGCTAGTAAATTAAAATAATGAAATACAACCACTGCAACCATTATTTAAAAGTCTATGGAAATATAGTTCTAACGTGCTGTTTTTGTTTATTTTCTGTAATATCGGTCTGTAACCACTTTTCTTATTATGAAGTCCTGTTTAAACTTCTTTAGGAACCCGTGCACGGTAGTGAGATACAATTTATCTGTAATACATAAAACAAATATATACATAAAAATCTCGCCTGTCACCCATTCAGGGGTAGGCAGAGACCTCCACTCGATACGTTCATTATATAGTATTTGTAAATAAATATAAGTTTTAATGACGAATGACTCATGTCACAAAGCACATAAATATTAAATAAATATACAACTTCTTTAGTTCCGTGCTTAAGATTTGAAACAACAGTAAATTTAAAAAAAAAATGGAAAAGTAAAAAGCACTAGTGCGAAAATTCCAACTTTTGGCACGATTTGTAGTGCGAAAAATACCACGTTTTGAGCAACTGTATTAAAAAAGTTTTTATTTGCCGCCATTTCGCGTCGTTACATGCTGTTATGCCGCGTTCTCACATTCGTGCGATAGGCGATGCGAATAGCGATGCGATGCACGACACGCATGTGGTAAACGGTCACAAAGCAAACGGAATTTTGGTACGGTGATTAACAAGATAGGGTAGGTAGTATATTATAGGTAAATCTAAACAATGAAGGATGGAAATTATGAAATGGAAATGAGATGGTAATAGCTGAAAATAATGTTAAAGGCCCATTTAGATGGAGTTTCTCGCACGCTTCGTGACGGAAACTCGTAGGCGATTATCGTAAGCAATAATCGCCATAAGATTATCGTATCATAATGTTTACATTCAGGCAAGAACTAAAATCTCGCCTACGATTATGTCATACGAGATTCGCAAGCAACTTAATCGCCTCCTCGACTGTTTACACAGAGAAATATGTAGTAAGGAGATTCTTGCTTACGAGTTTTCGACTTGTCTAAACACGATCTCGTATGACATTTTTTCAAGTTCATACGATTATCGTACAAATCGGTTCGAATCGTTTTGAATGCGAGAATCGCCATTCGAGTTCAGTGATTACTGCGGTATTGACTATGGACATATCGAAATGACGCAAAAATCATTCAAATTTGGAACTGCTGATAATATTAAGTTCATTACATTGTAGAGAAATATAAAATTTTTTTCTTCAAATTTTATAACAATTTTTTTGCGGTCTCGTTTCATTAATTCTTGTCTTAGAAAAACAGTGATAATCAAAACACCCTCGCGCACTGCACTCGTGGTAGAAACGGCTGGCACAGAAACTCGAAATACGATTTTTGCTTTCGAGTTCTGTTTACGTTGAGACGTTCAATATTGAAAGGCGAGGCGATTATCGCTCACGTGGACGGTCGGTAATCGCAAATGTTTAGACGAAGAAAGTTTTTTTATATTCTTTCGATAATCGTATCTTCGAGACGATAAACTCTCTCCATCTAAATGGGCCTTTAGTGCATAAATAATAATCTAAATTTTAATAATATTGTTCCTTATGAACTGAGCCAATGCATTATAAACAGTTATTCGCAATGTTGCCACTGTAGCCAGTTTTTAGCTATATAGATTTATTCAGATTTACGAAATTATTAGGTACAAAACAAAATGTTTGATAGTTAAATCTTTTAGCTCTTTTAGTAAGAAAAGTAAAAAATTGGAAAAAAACGAAAATAAAGCTTAACATTCAACATCACAAGATGATAATGATTTGATTGATATTGATGATAATTATTTTTTCGATTCATTATTTGTAAAATTAAGAAAAATATGTTTTTAAAAACGCAATCCCATAATTATGTTTTTGTTCAGCCACTTTAGGCAATTTTACCCAGAATTAATATCTTGGAACGTAGCAACTTTTTTACTTAAAGTTTAACTACTTCCTCCTTGGGCAACGTGGCAACACTACTTATTCGTCCCTTTTTTTTATTAATGGTTTTGACTTAGATATAAGTCCTTTGAGTCATGTCTTCGTTTAATTATCGGATACTCAGTAATATTTTCCATTGTAGTTCTAATAGATTGTTTTCAATTTCTCTTAAATAACTAAGTTCACTTATTCGGTTTTTTTACATAGTCTTTTAAGTGGCGGTAGTCAATATTTATGTTTTCACTTTCACATAGATCACATTATCTTCTATCACTTTGAACGAAAACTTTGAATTTCTAATTAGTGAAATTTTCAGGATAAAGTCTTGTAATTTGGTTTCAGTTAAGGAACATAGTTGTAACTTTCTTCATCGCTATTTCTTTTTTCGTTTTTTGTCCATAATATACTTAAAATAAAATTAATAATCTTTGTAAAGACTGTAGTTGTAACTTCAAAAGCTTGCCATTTCCTTATTCGTCCCGCTTCAGATAAACCACAGAGTACTTTATATATAAATAAACTGCTAGCTCCCGAAGCGATAATACGTAGGTACAAAATGGACTGGAGTAATGCGCGGGTCTTGTACTTTCTAGAACGATATGTATGAAACCGAAGAACTCATTTGAAACCCAAAACATTCAAACTACAAAATTAAACACAAAGTTAACGATGCATGCAAGAAGTTAATGGC